TATATATATATATATATATATATATATATATATATATATATATATCACACACACACACACACACACACACACATATATATATATATATATATATCCTCAATATATGTTCCACTCTATATGTATCCAAAGAAGTGGGCTGTAGCCCACGAAAGCTTATGCTCAAATAAATTTTAGTCTCTAAGGTGCCACAAGTACTCCTGTTCTCTAAGCTACATCGACTCTCACTACTCCAGCTACGAGAATAACGTAGCTGAACTTAAGTTGACTTACCACGGTAGTGTAGACATAGCAAAAGTCAGGGGTTTAGGTGCTTAAGTACATTCATGGATCCCATGCTTAGTTACTGGGATCAGTAGAGCAAGAAATCAATTGTTCATTGACCCCATCCATGTAATAGCTAATTATCAAATTGTTCTGAGACATCATCTGTGGAACAAGATGTTTTTGGCCACTGAACTGTTGGTTGAGTGTGTCAAGCAGCCTCCTCTAATGAAGGGTTTGTTTCAGTTAGGACAGAACTTTTTACGCTGCAGCTCATTCAGTGGCACCAGTAGTAATGACTAAACTTTGTCTAGATATAGTCTCTCAGTTGAGGCGCAGTGAGAACCAAGTCAGGTGACATTCTGGCAGCAAGGACCTGAACAGCAAGCAGTTTCTTGTTTAGCATATGTTGGGTTCAATTCTTTGGTCGTTTAGTCCAAGCTGTGCTCTGCACACGACTAGGCAGGGGACTGTAAAGATGGCTGTCTCTCCTTCACAGTTCCCTGATTCTTAGGGTATTGGGACTACTCTGATCCCTGGTATTAGCAGATATTGAACTGTCTTTTAATTTATGCTTGGCTGCCTGCAGCTCAAAGAGGATGTGCCAGGAGCATAGTGACACTGGCCATGTCCCCACTTCCCCACCTAGGGATTCCCTGACAAAAAGGAAATCTTACCTGGCCAGATGCAGAAAGTTTATAGCCTCTTTTCATTGACAGAATTGTGCAAAAGGGTGTTAACAGATCATTTGGCTCCTGCATTTAAGAAAATATTGGTTTGTACATTAAACATTAGTCCTTGTAACTACAACATTAATAAGTTCAATATGTTCAAAATAGGTTTAGCATTTTGTAAAGCAGTCTCAATTATCTAGAACTGCAAACAATCTGCCTTGATTTTTTTTTATTGCACTAAATGCCTTGTTTCCTCTCCTCCCCCCAAATGTCTCTTTGCATTAAAGCCTTTATTCCTTGTGCTGTCTTTAGGTGTACTATTGAATGGAAGAAAGGAAAAAATGTTACAGTTAAAACAATCAAGAAGAAGCAGAAACACAAGGGTCGAGGCACAGTTCGAACAATTACCAAACAAGTACCCAATGACTCTTTTTTTAACTTCTTCAGCCCCATAAAAGGTAAGCTTGTTTGAGCAGCAAAAAATATCTGGATTTTTGCATAGTTACCCAAACTCTGTTTTTATAAAAGTAGTTTCTTCACCTGGGCTATAGTTAGGCTGTTATCTGTAACTCTGCTTTTATGATGTGACTGTTGTAACATATAAACATCTTCAAATGAGTGGCTAAATCATTCCTAAGCAGTGGGATCTATATTGGGAGAGTTTTAGAGTACTGAAACAGATGGGGTGTTATCACTCTACTTTTGACAGTGTAAATATCTGGAGCCTGAAACAAGTGCTATTTATCAGCCCGAAAAAGCGGTTATTTGCTAATAACTAAACTCAGATTTTGCCTTGACTATAACTGTTAAATGAGTTACTCTAGCTATAATCAGCTAATTCTACAGGGAACTATTAGCTGAAGAAGAACAGTATAGACAGGACTCCTTTTGTTAGCATATTGTGGCTGGCCCATGTTTTTAATATTGCTAGTTTAAGGATATTTTACTTTTTACCACAAGGTGGCTCCATACTTCTATTCTAGATGTAATGTGTGAAGATTTCACATCCAGTCTCAGTTGGTTCAATAGACTGATCTTGCTTGTTAAGCCTTCAGGGTAAACAGGATGTAACGACTGTAATTATGTTAGGGTTTGCTATAGTGCCTATCACTATATCCAAGTGCTAAACTGACCAAATTAAGCAAAATTGCTAATGGACTTCAAGAGGCCTTGTGCTCTTTCCCTTTTCTGGTTAAGCACTGTTTGCACCAGGGGGGTTTCTGCAGTTATGTTTATCTGCCGTTATGTTTATCTGCCATAGAGAGAGAAAATACATACCTGTGATTGCAGTATCTTTAAAGAATTTTAGTGTAATATGTTATGTTCGTTCCTTGTTGGTCTCTAGTTGATATTTTAGAACACCTATTTGTAGACCTTGAAACCTCTGTAGTAATAGGAGTAATAATAATACCTTACTCTTATATGGGGCTTTTCATCAGTGTATCACATTATGTAGGATGTAAATAGAAATGCCACCAAAAATTGTATTTTCATATAAACATCCATTTTCTGCAAACAAGACAATCACAAGTTGCCTGAGTTGTAGCTGGATTTGGGATGTTGGGGATATAAATATAGTGGGCTAGATTCTTTGGCATGCCAGAGCTCCATAATCTGGAAAGTGGTGCAGATTTAGCATTGTTACTTTTCTACTTTGATCCTGTGGGTATCCAAAGACCACATTGGCCTCTGTTGCAATTTAGAGAAGCCACAGAGGTGCTAAACTTATGCTGGCTGGAATGGTGCTGTGGAGACCATTTTGTTGACCCCAGGGTTGCTGGAACACACTCCAGGTACGTCACCACATGTCCCAAACTTGCCTCTGGAGCAGGACCAACTGGTGTAGAGCTAACTGGCTTTATCTCTAGGGGATTTCCCTATGATAGGAGTATTCCCAGTGGCTCATTTAGGATAACTTAAGTTTCACTTGTGCTATCATGATTCAAAGAGAATTTAGCTTGGGGTGCAGGTTTGGCCACTACATACTGTTATATGTCATTCAAGATGGTTTGAACTGTGTTAGCATAGAGAAATTCCTTCTGCAAGTTATACCAGTGTGTATTCTGTCTGTCTGGAGTAAATATGTGACTTCTTCAAATGCTTCCCAAATCTTGGTGCTGGCAAACTGATACTGATGAGCTGTAAGGTCAAAGAAAATGGCACACATTTTGCTTAGTACAGTGTATAGATAATTCTCACATACATTCTCCTAATGCCGCAGACTGCTTAAGTTGGAAGGTATAAAAAAGTAGACTTTTTAATATTTTAAACTATACTTAACTAGATTGTAAACAGGAGTCCAACCATCTGAGATTGGTCTCCGATGGCAACCTCCAACCTTCTCTTTAAATATGTGAGTTTGAGAAGTGTTTCATCATGTGAACTTCATAGATGATGCACTGATCAAAATGGTCATAGCTTTTTTTTTTGGTAGATGTGACTGCTTTTGTAAACTGTCTGGTTAACCCCCTTGGAAACACCAGCACATGTTGTATAGTTTCTGCAAGCCTTTCATAATTAGGGTTGGATTGGCTTTTTGTCAGTACATATGGATTTCATAGTAAACACACAAACTGATGAAAATGTTTATTTTCACTGATGATTGAAATTTACAAATAGACAAAGTAAAAAAAAAAAAGCTTTAACTTCTTAGCATTTGATTTTAAGGATATTTAATATATATTTTCCTATGTGATGTTGATCCCTGTAATTTTGTGCCACTGAAAATCTAAATCAATACAATTTGGGGAGGAGGAGCTTAAAAATAAAAACCTTCAATTATACAAAGAAAACTAAACTTGAATCCTGTCAAGCCTATTCATAATACATAGTTCATATTTGGAGTAGAAAATACTTGCACACACGGATTGTGTGTAAATATATTAGGGCTGTCAATTTAATTGCAGTTAACTCACGCAATTAACTCAAAAAAACTAATCATGATTTTAAAAAATCGATTAATCAGTTTTAATCTCACTGTTAAACAATAGAATACAAATTGAAATTAAATATTTTTGGATGTTTTTCTACATTTTCAAATACATTGATTTCAATTACAAGACAGAATACAAAGTTGTACAGTGCTCGCTTTATATTTTTTACACATTTGCACTGTAAAATGATAAAAGAAATATTATTTTTCAATTCACCTCATACAAGTCCTGTAGTGCAGTCTTTGTTGTGAAAGTGCAACTTACAAATGTGGATTTTTGTTTTGTTACATAACTGCACTCAAAAACAAAACAATGTAAAACTTTAGAGCCTACAAGTCCACTCAGTCCTACTTCTTATTCAGCTAGTTGCTAAGACAAATAAGTTTGTTTACATTTACGGGAGATAATGCTGCCTGCTTCTTGTTTACAATGTCACCTGAAAGTGAGAACAGGCGTTTGCATGGCACTGTTGTAGCTGGCATCGCAAGTTATTTACGTGCCAGATGCTCTAAAGATTCATATGGCCCTTCATGCTTTAACCACCATTCCAAGGGACATGCATTCATGCTGATGACTGGTTCTGCTCGATAACAAACCAAAGCTGTGCAGACCAACGTATGTTCACTTTAATCATCTGAGTCAGATACCACCAGCAGAAGGTTGATTTTCTTTTTTGGTGGTTCATGTTCTCTGGTTTCCACATCGGAGTGTTGCTCTTTTAAGACTTCTGAAAACATGCTCCACACGTTGTCCCTCTCAGATTTTGGAAGGCACTTCAGATTTTTAAACCTTGGGTCGAGTGCTGTAGTAATCTTTAGAAATATCACATTGGTCCCACCTTTTGTATTTTGTCAAATCTGCTGTGAAAATGGTCTTAAAACAAATAACATGTGCTGGGTCATCTGAGACTGCTTTAACATGAAATATATGCCAGAATGCGGGTAAAACAGAACAGGAGACCTACTATTCTCCCCCAAGGAGTTCCGTCAAAATTTAATTAACACATTTTTTTAATGAGCATCATCAGCATGGAAGCAGGGTGCAGAGCTACAAGGGGGATGGCTGAGTGGGGGCACAGACACATGGATATGAGGGGAGGAGGCTAGCTGAGGGGGGGGCTGGGACACATGGGGATAGGAGCAGATGTGCCTGACTGAATGGGAGAGACTCTAGAGGTCAGCCAGGGTCTGCATTGGGGATGCTCCCTAACAATCCTTCCTGCCCCCCCTCCCCCCCCAAACCTATTCCATGCTTTTCCCACCCATCCCCAACAACCCTTCAACCCAGGCTCCTTCCCAGCAATTACTTCCCTCTTCCTCAGCTCCTCCGTTACCCCTGACTCCCCCAAGCCTTTGCACTGCTTCTGAGGGGTGCAGGAAATACAGTTCTGTACTGAAGTTTTAAATTATTAAATTATTCTATATTAATATGCCTAGTAAGGAATCTATTTGTCAAAAAACATTTCCTGAAGCTTTTTTGTTGTCTGTATTGTTACAGACATACTTGCTGACAGGTATTTTGAAATAAATTACCAAAATAATTGAAACTGTTATGATGATATTGTGGTGTTTTGACAAAATATGCAGAATTGTAAAATGTGTGCAGAATTTTTCATTTTTTGGTGCAGAATTCCCCCAGGAGTACAGCCTGCTGTGCACTCCATAACGTTTGTGAGGCTATGGGTGAAAAATTTCCTCTGGTGTGTAGCATGGAGGTGGATGGCCTGACAGCTGATTTTGAGCAGCCAGAAACCAGGGCTGTTAGAGGGGCACAATTGGAGGCTATTCAAATCAGGGAGGCTTTGAGGCACCATTTTGACAAAGAGCTCCAATATTGTCTTTCTGTACAGCACTCTGCCATATTTTAACTTGCTGCCTTGCATGAAAATTTTGATAATTCCTAACCATGATTTGTACAAAGCAAATGAACAGATTGCCACTGTGTATTAATTCCATCAGCAACCACCATGTGTAGGAGACAAATAAAGATTGGTTATCTTTCAGAGTGTTTTTATTAAATACCAATTAACGACACACACAAAAGGCTTGGTGGGAAGGGAAAAACAAATGAAGGGCAGTATAGGCTTTTATGGTTGTGTGTAGTTGCTATAAGTTGAGAAGCTGTCCAAAAGGGTGGAGTGAACGGGATACTGAGACAGGTCGGGAAGTTGCAAGGAATATGTGTGAGGAGTTGGGGAGGGCATGGAAAGTAGTTCTCTATCGGCTGCAGGGGGGGGGGGGGGGCTGAGCAAACATGAATTCTGCCTGCAGTGTGATTAAAGACTTCAACATCTCCATTTTCTCCTCCATAAATTTTATCATCTGCTCCTGGCCCATTAAAATTCACTCCTGGCTCTCCTTTCTGTCCTGCCTGGCTATTTTATAATTTTCTTTTAAAGTCTCTCTCCACGCTCTGCGTTCTTGTTTTTCGGCTTGTGAGGATTGGAGCACCTCTCAAAACATGTCCTCCTTGCTCCTCCTTTGTTGCTTCCTTATCTGTCCGCAAAGCAGGAGAGTTTAGTCGGCGGGATGGAGCATTGTAGTGTGTACACCTCCACTATTTTGTCAACAAAAGTCGACTTTCGTTGACAAAGCTCTGTAGTATAGGCAAGGTCTTAGACTGAAACTGAATTGTTTTCCTTTCAGTAATGCTAACAGGGCCTAGCACTTGCAGGCTTTACAATTCTAATGTAACAAACACTAATCCACACAATACTTGTATGAATAGAAAACTTCTCATAGAACATCCTGCAAGCTTGAACAACCAGATGGACTGGGTTTTTCAGTGTTACATGAATTTTTTTCCTCTTTCTATTTGTAGTGTCTGGGGATGGAGAGTCATTGGTAAGTCTCACTTCAACAAGATTTGAAATCTCTTTACTATATTTTTGTCCTAAAGCTCCCCTTCCTAGGCTTTACTCAAATGCATACATCAGTGATCACACACATTTCTCCATTAGTCTGACTTTTGCCTAATAAGAAATCTGAGCTACAGCTTGATTTTAAAATAACATACTTTCATCATTGGCCCCAGCACTTTCCCCAATTGCCCATTTCTTCCACTTCTGACTCTTCCACTTCATCCCCAGTATCTCTGTATTACACCAGCCCTTCTTGGTAAGAGATCAGGTTGGCCACAGGATATCACTGAACCATGATGAACAGCATTATATCTGCACAGTGTTGCATTTCCAGTAGTAATTCTCTAAAATCCGATTGACTTGCTTTACAGGATGAAGATTCAGAGTTTACTTTAGCTACAGACTTTGAAATTGGGCACTTCTTCCGTGAAAGGATAGTCCCTCGTGCTGTGCTTTATTTCACTGGGGAAGCAATAGAGGATGATGATAACGTATGTATATTGCTCACCTATCTTGTATGTCTTTCTCTACATAAAAGCTGCCTATTATTCTTGTGACTGAAATAGTAAATACCATTACTTTCTCAAGTGAAATAAATGAAAAAGCAGAACTGGTTTTTCTTTGCATGGGAATAAATTACTTATCAGAATACACTGAGATAACGTGCTGAATAGGGTCACATTGCACTTTTTTTTTTTTAACCTTCCATTGACTGCCTAGGACTTCTGAAATCAGGTAGAGAGGGTTCTTTTGGACAAGGCAACAACCACTGTATCTTTATTATTGTAGCCCACAGAACTGAACCTGGCCATGACTGTGCTTGCTGAGCTGTAGCTGCACATTTGATTGGACGTCTGAAGCAATATAGCATCTAGAATTTGGTTTCCTTGAGTGGGCAACTTCACACATTTTTTTTGGAGGAAACAGGAGATGCAGCATTTAAAACACTAGCTCGAGGCAGAAGAGAAGGCTTCTGGACTAAGGAAGGATTGGCCTTTTTCTTTAAAGATGTGTGTATTTCTAAACTATATTGCCTTTACCAGTTTGGTAGGCAAATAATTTTAAATACCGCTTTGAAATGAGAAATTTTTTTGTAGTATCTTGTCTTCAAACAAAGCCAAATTAAAAAACAATGTAAAATCACTTATGCTGAGTACCCTGATGAATGCAGCAGATAAGAACACCAGTATACTGCTTAAACTTGCACTAGTATAAATATACTAGTCATAAGATGGTAATAGCATCCTTTATTTGTAAATTTCTTGCTCTTAAGTTTCTCCTTAATGCTGCTTGAATGTTCAGTTTGTTAAAAAATATACATTATCCAAGAAGCATATTCATTATTTGTATTTATTCCGTGAGTTCAATTTGTAAATTAAAAGTAGGGCTTGTGGCTCCTCCTTTACTTAAACTTGTATTCTGTCTATATAATTTCTAATGATTATACCCCAGTCACTGTCTTGCTGAGCTGAGGCAAGTTGTGATTGAAACTGCACATCTGACTAGTAGACACATGTCTGAAAAGCTATATTCCAGGATTTGGTGTCGCCCTTTTTCCTGATATAAGATTAAATGGCAGTTGTCATGGAGGCAGCATTGTGTAGAGGCTACAGTGAGTGGGAGAACGGGATAAACTGGGAGTTGGGAGACATTGATTATAGACTTCGGATGTCGTCACCAATTCTGTGTAGGACTTTAAGCAAATAACTTAGTTCTGTGTTTCTCCATCCACACCTGTAAAATGGGGTTAGTGCTTTAGAAGGTAAATTAAGCGTTTTGAGATTATTTGAAGGGTACTTGCATTTGCTAATTGCAATAAAACATTCTGCAAACGTAAACATTTTATTTTTGTTTTAGTTTGAAGAAGGAGAGGAAGGAGAAGAGGAGGTGAGATGTCTATTGTGTCGATTGTAGATCACTAATCCATATTCTCCTTTCTGAAATAGAAATATCTAGCCCCATATAGGACAAACAGGGATGTGTGTATTTCATGGTGCCATGTTCATACTCCTCTACAAAAGTCATTATAGCTTAACGTTAAGCAGCTGTAAAATCTATACAGATTCTAATTTTTGCTGTATGTATATTCCATAAAAGCATGCATTCCAATTATGTCTAGTATCTCAGCTGCATTATCAAAATATAGTTGCAACTTTTTAATTTAATTTAATTAATGGAGATATCCCATCTCCTAGAACTGGAAGGGACCTTGAAAGGTCATCG